AGTTATATAGATAGCTATCAGTACCAGGACATAGGCAGCCAGACCTGGGTGGCAATCAGGATCAAGGCTACTCAATTGTTGTAAAAGCTGGAGTTAGAATGAGCAACAGAATCTAGCAATGAGCTAGATCAGAAAGGCAGGGAGTCGAAAGGCAAACAAGTTCCATAAGTGAGCTGAGTCAGTGAACCAGGAGATCAAGAGGGGAGCGAAGCCTACAAGTAAGTGAAGTTGGAGAACCAGGAGGTCAAGAAACAACCAGAGTTTAAAACAGTGCATTCTAGGATCAAAAAGAGTGCTTGGACAAGAAACCCATAGACCAACATACATATCTGCACAGGACCAGCAATCACCCTAAACACACCAAAAAAGCTGTGATATACAGCCAAGCCCTCAGATACCACCGAATTTGCACTGAAGAGAACACCTGGGATTGCCACCGCACCTATCTTAAAAAGGCTTTCACCCAACAAGGACACTTCTTCAGAGAGGTAGATCACACCTTTGAAAGAGCCACCCGGATACCACGTGAAGAACTGCTGTAGTACAGAAGAAAAAGCCCACAAACTGCACACTGCTGGTTATGACATATCACCCCTCCCTCGAATCCATATGGAAAATCCTCAAATAATTGCAACCCATACTAGAAAAAGACCCTGTTCTTAAAGAGATCTTCCCAGAGCCACCCATCCTAGCTTTCAAACAAGCCCCGAACCTCACCAACCTCATCACCAGAAGCAAACTTCCTCAGGCCCAGAACACACCAAATGGATCCAGACCGTGCCAGGACAAGAAATGCAAAACCTGCCAGCACGTCTCCACCACCCCCACTATTACTACACCCCACAACAGAGCCATCAGCATTCCTGGATCTTACAGCTGCACCTCCAGAAATGTAATATACCTCATCCAATGCACCAAATGCCCAGATGGAGCATACGTAGGGTAGACCAAACAACAACTGCGCACCAGAATGAACGCACACCGGAAATCTATCAAAGACAGGAATACCCAATTACCGGTGGGGGCACATTTCTCACAAGAAAACCACTCTCTCTCCAATCTATCAGTCCTGATCCTCAAAGGAAACCTACAAAACACTTCCCAGAGACGAGCCTATGAACTCCACGTCATCAACCTACTGGATACTAAAAGTCACGGACTAAATATAGACATTGGATTTATGACGCATTATAACCTGCCTGACAGCTGACTTCCCAGGTACCTCTCCACTATTCATCCCCCTTCTCTCCCCCCCACCCAGCCTGTCTCTCCCCCCTTGACTCCTCAATCTACATTTTCACTGACTGCCTATCTTTTATCCATACCAGCATAGCCTCTGGCTTCTTTACTTTTCATTCCATCCAGGAAGAGCACACACCTACTCCTGAAACTTCCTTAGCCTGATGAAGGGTTTTTGAACCTGAAAGGTTGCTTAAAAATTGTTCTCCAACTATTTAAGTTGGTCAGAATAAAAAATATCACCCAAAGAACCTTGTCTGTGTATGTCCTTAGACCAACATGGCTACAACCTATACCCCTGGACACTTCCTATATCTTTCCCTGATTTTTTTTATATAGGTCTGATTTTATACAGGGGAAGTGTAGGGTCCAGTGACAGGAGCCAGCCACTTTAGTACCAGGGGGTGGTTGACAAGTTGGGCACTGATGAAGTCTTTAGGTAGGCCTATTCAGCCTTTGGGAACAGCAGGATGGGGGGTTGTGGTAGGTGGCTGTGATGGTTGGAACAAAGTACTGGGTTCAAGCCTGGTCTGACATCATCTTCCAGTACTTTTCATCTGGACTATGTTAACTTACTAATAAGAATGTCATGGGGGACAGTGTCAGAAGCCTTGTTAATGCTGAGGTATGTTACATCCACTGCTATATATCCTTCTGCCTCCCCCAACCAAAAAGTCTGTCTCTTTTTATAGAGGAAAATCATACTGATCAAGGAGGACTTGTTCTTGATCACCTTGTTACCCTCTGGATGCTTAGAAATAGACTCCTTTATGATTTATGTATAGTCAGAGTAAAATAAGGCAATGCATTTAAATAAAAGCAGTGACTTTGCTATGAAAGTTACTTCACCAAGGACCATTATCACTTCCACAGAATTACAGGTAAGGCTGTTCATTTTGCAAAGTGAATTCCACATCCTTTAGAAGCATTGCAGATTGACCAGAGACCAGACTGAGAAATATGGTTTGAATTGGTAAATGCTCTTACCTTTGCACCAATGGTACTTGATTGTTGGAGATACCTTCAGGGTGGCTTCATTGCCTCACTTCTGGGGTCTGGCATTTGCAGAGAAGGTTTTCTGGTACCACTCTTGAGAGTATTGGAGAAGCAATGTGTACTTACTCTGTATCATTCCAGGGAGCAGCAGGACAAAGTGACTTGCCCTCTCATTGCAGGTAACCTGTGGGGTTACCTGCATTGGGTTTATGCTTAATCTGCTACTAGGCACAGGATAAGGACTCACAATTTACTGTGGTGGTATGTGTTTGTGCAGTCCCATGTTGGATTATTGTTGGGGCCAGAATCACAAATTGTGCTGGCCATTTTAGCTCAGTGCAACTTGTCTAGCAACTCTGCAGGTTCTCCATGCTCTGAGGTTTGGTAAGCATTTTCTGCCTGGAGTCAAGTTAAAAAATGTATTATTAAATGCCTTGGCTACCTGAAATCTCTTTGGTTTTTTTTTCACTTTGCAACCTGTTTCTCATTAATAGTACCAAAGGTAATTCAGAACCTGGGGAGATTGTTTAACCCATAAGTCTACTGCAATAGTTCCTGCACCTTTCTCTGAAGCATCTGTGCTAACTTCTCACGTGTTTTTGGCCACATGGACTTAACATACTAGTGGTATTTGTAGGGGCTTGTTCTTGGTTTACCTAAGGGATTGGGATGAGGCTAAGAGAGGAAGTGGTCCCCTAGGTATGTAGGGCTCAGGAAAGCTACTGAAAACCAGTGAAGATGCTGGAGGAGTGGAGTTATATGCTCCTTGTGGCCTACCCCCATCAGAAGGTGGGCTTCTGTTTTATACCAGCTGTAGCCTCTGGATGGTTTTCAAGGGTAGGTCCATGTAGTGATCATTGCAGTAATCTAGTCTTGCCATTGTGAAGGCATGGGTTATGGCAGCTACATCTGAATCTTAAAGAAAGCAACCTTCTCCCCAGATGCAGTGGTGGCTGGGAAATGACACTTCTAGCTACCACTGCCACCTGAAGATTCACATACTGCAGCAGAGGATCCAGGAGCTCTCCAAACTGCAAACCTGAATGACAAGACCATTAATGTTAGGTGATCCAGCCACAATGTCAGGTGATCTGCCCACCACAATTATTTCTGTCTTGTCTGGATTCAGTTTCAGTTGATCCAACTCTAGGGGCCAGGGTCAGAAAAGAGGAGGTAGAGTGGGGTGTCATCAGCATACTGGTGGCATCTCATTCCAAATCTCTGAACAGTATTTCCCAAAGGCCTCATATAAACATTGAACAGAAAGGGTGCCAAGATGGAGCCTTGGGGGACTCCACAGGAAAGGTCCCGAGGGGACGATGAGTACTTTTTCATCACCACTCTCTGAGATTTCCCTGCTAGGAAGTAATAGAACTATATAGAGCTGTCCCAAAAACACACACCAAGTCTTATGAACACTTTATCAGCAGTTCATGGTTGACTCTACTTAAGGCTGCTGAAAGATCTAGTAAGATAAGCAAGGCACAATTTCCCCTGTCAATCTCCGGGCAAAGATCACCAACCAGGACCACGAGTGCAGTCATTGAATCATAGAAAATTATGACCAAACCCCTGCTTGAGTCAGCACTATCCCTATCCAAACTATCCAACACAAGTCCTTGTAATGGTCCATTTTCTATAGTTTTACACATCAGTTTAAAGATTCTTTGTCTGCTCTTTCTAAGGATAACAGAGCCTAATCTCTTTTAGACTTTTCATGAAGTACAGATTCTTAAAATCTGGACCTTCCTGGTCATTCTACTGTGAACTCCACTTTTGCCTTTCAGTTTAATGGTTTATCAAGTTAGTTGCATGATTTTATATTCTGCACCTATATAAATATTGAAGTACTACACCTATCTTAAAGTAATCTGTAATATTAATTATTATTTCAGGATGACTTTACAATATGTCGAAAGGGTGGCTTTAGAATAAGTCCAAAATGATGTCTTACATCCATTTGTAGCATGGTCATTTGTTTAGTATACACTCCATATAGTTTAGTGTAACCCACATTCAATAAATTAAACCAGTTTTGTTGCCCTCGAGAAAATTTTTGGGTTTCAGCTTGCATTGAATATCAAACATCCAAAAGGCTTGTGCTAATAAAATTTCATTCTTAACCATTAGGTTGACCTAAAAGTAACTCATGTGAATTGCTTTATATCTCACTCATTAAAGATTCCTACCATTCTTTACCAAGTTCTGGCCCCTTAACTCACAAATCTACATTATCTTGAAGGGAGGGGTGTAAGTGTATATGCTCCATTTTGTTTCAGGGTGTACATAATTTTATTCTAATGATGGAACAGTTACTTGCACTTAGCAAGTTTATCTGCTAAGATAAGATTTGAGAGCCAAGAAAGAAATTCATAGGCTGTGATTGACACCAGGTATGAGTATTACTTATGTAACAACACTGATAGATTTTGACAGGGGGGCTGGGGAAATCTAATAAGTGCCACATATTAACTTTCAGATATGCCATGGAGTGATAAACTAATTCTGTGTCACAATCCTGCATTTATCCCAGATGTCAATCATTAGTAAGAAGAAATAGAAAAATCATGTAATGTTTATAATTTTTGTCGTCTTTAATGTTTATATATGTGTCGTGTCACATGATTTATATGTGAAACAGCATTATTAAAATAAATTAAACTTTCAGACCTAGCTATCCACCTATATGTGGATATAAGCATGTAGTCCTTATTTAAGTAAAACTACCACTGATTTTACTGCATTATTGTTGACTGATTTATGTAATGATAAAAGCGCATTTGGATGATTTGCAGACAGATCTGAAGACGGGTAATTTGCCCCAAAGAGCTTCAAATTTAAGCAGGCAATATGAAATTGTTTGGTTATATATTTAGAACATATTGACAATTCTGATTTTTTTTTTTTCCCTTTTAGGTTTTACTGGGACTTAATAATGCTTATAATGATGGTTGGCAATCTTGTCATCATACCAGTTGGAATCACGTTCTTTACAGAGCAAACAACAACACCATGGATTATTTTCAATGTGGCATCAGACACTGTTTTTCTATTGGACTTGATCATGAATTTTAGAACTGGGACTGTCAATGAAGACAGCTCTGAAATAATACTGGATCCTAAGATCATTAAGATGAATTATTTAAAAAGTTGGTTTGTAGTTGACTTCATTTCATCAATACCAGTGGATTATATCTTTCTTATTGTAGAAAAAGGAATGGATTCAGAGGTTTACAAGACAGCTAGAGCACTTCGTATTGTGAGATTTACAAAAATTCTCAGCTTGTTACGTTTATTGCGGCTTTCAAGATTAATTAGATACATCCACCAGTGGGAAGAGGTAAGACATATATGTGTATACATTTTTCATTTATTTAGATTTTATTCCCTTATTAAAACTTTCTAATGAGCTATGGATAAACCAGGTATGTACAATGTTATGAAATTCTCTAACTGGAAAGAGGTAGCTAAACTGTATGTTCAACTTTTTATATGTAGGTGCCACCTGAAATACCTTATTTTATGAGAGAGAAGCCCAAATATTACCATTCTTTGTTTAGTAGAAAATGGCATAGAATAAATACATAGACAGAACTATCTGCATGAGAGCAGGAGCTCAGTGTGAGAATCTGTTGTAAAATCCTGTCTAGCAAGACTGTTTTATTACCACTACCCTCGCTTGTTTACAATATTTCATGGCTTAACACCTATGCAAATTATCAAGAGTTTGTGGCTATACCTTGTGTGCGCGCAAGCAGAAAAAAATAATGCTAAGTGTTTTTTAACTTGCTTTTGTGTTACAGTAACAAAGGAAATAATTTCCAATCTTGTAGATCTCTTAGAAGACAAAGGTGATTGTACATCCCCTGAATATACTGATTGATGATCTTAAGGATGGGAGTTGCAACAATTTTAAAATCATTCCTACCCAGTTCTGAAAAGCAATATTTGGGGGGATAACTGCAGAAATATAAATACTCGGGCTGTGCAAAGCTTTGGTCCCTGATTCGATTCTGTGGAGATTTGTCCCGATTTGGTGGTCGAATCTCCGAATCCTGAATCAAATCAGGAGACCCTTCAATCTCTCTGAATCAAAATGGAACCCTCCAAACTGATTCAGCAATATGGACATAGACACAGCTTTAAATGTGGTTTTGTTTTTGTTTTTTCTACATACCTCAGGGTACCAGGCACCTGGTGAATGCTGCAGTGGTGGGGTGGATGGAGCATCCCACAGGAGCATGCGGGGCTTCCCAGCGCACTTGGCAGTAGACCTGGAAGTGGACCAGGGAGTGTGCTTGGGGGCCCCCCGTGCCCACTTGCCTCAGTGAATGGTACCTGGGTCTGGGGACGTACCCAGGATCCTTCTGAGGCCGATCGCTGAGCTGGAGGGTGCAGGGGAACCCCCCAATGTGCTCCCAGGCAGACCTAGAAGTGCACTAGAATAACTTCCAGCTCACTTCTGCGTTCACTGCCAAGCATGCAGGGGGGCCCCCTGTGCTCTTGTGGGACGCTCCATCCCCCCCAGCATTGCAGCATTCACAAACCATGCCTGGTACCATGAAGTATGTAGAAAAAACATTTAAAGCTGTGTCTATGGCCAAATTGCTGATTCTCTGAATCAGCATCACATCTTCAGATTCAGCCAAATCAAATCGGGGACAGTGATCCGAATCAACGAATCGAATCACTGTCTCTGATTGGGGCCAAATCCAAATCTGAATTGAATATGGCCTGTTTCGCACACCCCTATTTAAATACCCACGATCTAGCCAGGTGAGGGCAATGAAGGAAGGGCCTCACCTCTCTCTGTTCTCTTTATTTCATCATCTGTCCTCTTCTTGCTTCTGGTCCATACTTGAGAGGACAAAAGGGCAGACCCCACCACTGAGGCTGCTCCTTCAGGGGCTCACATGCCAGCAACCAAAGCCATTTATTCCAGCAGCCTCTCCCTTCTTTGGGAGCATGTGTTGGAGCCAAAGGCATGAGCTGGGGTGAAAAACACAACTCTGGTTCTATGTCTGCCTGCCAACAGCAGGGCACACTGACCAGAGTATGAGGTGGGTCAGCACAGAGGCTGCTGGGGGTGTGGGGGAAGGCAGTAGCAGCTATAGTCCCCAGGGCTAGGGACAGAAGTTACACATAAACTGGTTTAAGTGATCAGGAACTAGTTTAAACCTATAAGAAAACAGAAGTTCAGTGCACTAAAATCACTTTCAAAATGGCTGAAACTAGTTTAAAATAAACCTAGATGGATGTAGTATCAGACTTAACTGACTTAGATCAAACTGGTATATAGAATTTCTGTCCCAGATCCCCTCCTGATTTAACTTTACTATGGGCTTCCCTGCTTCTGGGAGCTGGGGCAGTCACCTGGCCGTGCCCCATCCCAGGCCAGCTCTGGACCCCCAGCCAGGTTGTGCCTGGCACAGCGGGGGTGGGTATAGCTGGCAATAGGGGCTATTTTACCTGCAACTTCATCCTCAATCAGCCTACCAGCTGAAGAGGGGACATAGTCAGGTTATCACCTTGGTTCCCAGCTGTGGGGAAGCTCTCAGTGGGGGCTTTACTCTCCCCCCCACCCAAGCCAGGATTTGGGGTGATCACCTAGCCATGCCCCCTCCTCAGCTGGCAGGTCAACTGAGGAGGAAGTTGAGGGAACAAACAGCTCCCACTGTGAGCTTCCCCCTGTGCACCTGGCACAACCTGGCTGGGAGTCTGGAGCCAGGCAGGGAGGGGCCATTTTCCCCGCCATTCCTCCCTGAGCTGTGAGCTGAGGCAGTCATGTGGCTATGCTCCGACCTCAGCCAGCAGACCAACTGAGGAAGGGGTGTGGGGGAAAATGGGCTCTACTGTGGGCTTCCCTCTGCATGCTGGGGACAGCATGACTAGGTGTCCAGAGTTGGGTGGGGGGCCCTTCCCCTACTCAGCTAGCCTGCTGGCCAAGGAGGGGGCATGGCTGGGTGATTGCCCCAGCTTCTGGCTGCCAGAAAGCCCATAGTGGGGGCTTTACTTCCCCTGCCCAACTCAAGAGCTGAGGCAATCACCTGGCCATGCCCCCTCTGTGCCTGGCAGGCCAGCTGAGGAGGGAGTGGGAGGATCGAAAACTGACTTCCACTGCGGGCTTCTTCCTGCCTCCCCCTTGTGCCCAGAACAGCCTGGATAGGGGTCCACAGCCGGGGGGGGGGGGGGACATTTTTCCCTTTCTCCCACTTCCTCCTTAGCTGGCCAAGGTAGGGGCATAGACAGGTGATTTTCCTGGCTCTAGCTCTGGGTGCAAGGGGTGTGGGTGATGGAGAAATGCCCCACTGGGGGCTGCCCCCTTTCCCCATTTCTCCTGCACCAGGAAGTCCCTAGCTGGGGGTCTGGTGCTGGGTGCAGATGGGGTTCCTCCCTCACCCTCTCTGCACCTGGCCCAGACTGAGGAGGTGGCATGGATAGTGGAACCAGCTCTGGGCATGGGAAAGGGAGATACACCTGCATGGGGGCTTCTCCCCTCTTCCCTTCCCCAGTGCTGGGGAGACTCTGGCTGTTGGTCCAGTGTAGGGAGTTCTCCCTTCACTCCCTCCTTACCTGGCTGGAGGGGCATGGCTGGGAGAATTGCCTATCTCCTGGCTCTCTGCAGTTGCTGGTAGTCTTGGAGTCATATTCTAGTGCCCTCTGGCTCCTGGTATGGGCTACTTCAGGGGTTTGGCTGCCTTTCAGGTTTGAAAAGTGAGTGTTAGTTCACTTTCTTATCAGTTCAATCTAGGCAGTTTACAGAAACCTACAAAGATTGAATTGATTCAGCCTTGTGCTTTTTCACTGTCAGGTACCGCTAGGGTAGCTGGGGCAGGAGTAAGACACAAGATGAGGCTAGGAGAGTATTTACCTTCTCACACAGTGGCTGAATGTGGCGCTCTTTAAGAGATTTCATGGCACCTCAGGGTGCCATAAGGAGCAACATTGTGGATCATTTTCAACTATTTCACTTTGGTTTAGGCAGCTTCAGTTAATCATTTGCCATGAAATGCTACAAAGTGTGGTACTAAAAAATCAAATAACTCTCAGATCACATATGAACAAGCAGGTTTAAATCAAAGGTAATAAAAGTGGGATCTTGAATCCAATAGAAATGCAAGATTGAAAAGTACCTCCTAAGTCACTGAGTTCAGTCATTTGATATCACAGGCAACCACATAATGATCCTTTTCATTAAATACAAAATAGAAGTACCTGGTTATTAGAGGCAGACAAGGTTCTTTGAGTTGTTAGAGGATCTTTTTTGTTTGAGAGGTGCACTGATAAAAGGAAAATTGACACTATCAGCTATCACTTAGCTAAGACCTGGGGCTAGGGCAGGCTCTGCCCAGCTGGGGTGGAGCGTGGGATGGAACCATGAGTAGCTCATCTGGGGGCCATGGGGGGAAGGGGCAACTCCCACAGCTGTGTGCACCACTGAGGGAAGCTTGGCGGGGGGGTGTTTGCCCCCCAGATATGTGCGTGGCATGAGGGCGGGCTGCTACTGCAGTATGGGGCTGGAGGGTTTGGGCCTGGGTGCACTTGGGGCAGGTGGAGGTGGTGCTGGGAGGGGGGGGCTACAGTGAATTATGTGGTGGCCACAGCCCACTCCATAGCCCCACCTCCCAGCACTGCCGCCACCCATCCCAAGTGCAGCTCCAGCCCACCCCCACACTGG